GTTCCATTGTTGGCCCTGCAGTTCTTAAAGTGTTGAATAGGGTACGGTAGCTGTGAAGTATGTAAAGAGCGCAGTGATAAGTAGATTAGCGGTAGAGCCCTGAAACCCTCATTTCAAGAGAAACAAGAAAAAAACGTAAGAAACCCCTACAAAATTTGACCTTCTGGACGCTAGCGTAGTGAGAGGGGACCACTCGAAAGCGCTTCGTATACTTTGCTCTAGTCAGGGCTCAGACTGATATCCCTTAGCCACTCTGGTCGTCTGCGCTCTGAACCTGAGTCGTTTTGAGGAAAGGATACAGAACCCTCCATAGGCGCCCCGCCCCTGCATAAAAGCGCCTCCTTTTTTGCCGTCATGATCTACTTTTCGAAGCAGTTATGCTTGGAAGGTACTATTCTGAACAGCAATTTCAAATCTCTTGGTCCGCGGACGATTGGTACTTACTAGTTCAATTTTCGAATGTTTTCCTCGAATCTGAACAGTTCTCAGAAAGACTTCCTCTATATCTGTAATCCACATGACTCTGCAGTCTTGTCCTGACCCCCCTTCTTTCTAGGCTCTCCTTATTGAAGACCGGCCAAGACACCAGCAACCGAAGGCCTACGTAGTTTGTAATTAGGAGGGTAATTGAGGGTAATTTACACCTTTTGAAGACCAGTTAATCGAGACGTTGCAGAGACAAGCCCTGATTCACACAACAAGGGGGTTCTGTTCAGATGTAGAATTCAGCAAATTCGTTACCATTAGTTTCTAATTCCGGTCCGTTCGTTAGTGAGGAGATTTGAACTAAGATGTTCTGTAACTGCTGCTACTACAAGTATTACACTTGATATAGGTTAGTTCGTCGTTATGGAGCGAACAACTGTTCGTAAGTAATAGTGAGTCGGAACAAGTCGGTCACTACATCACTACGGCTCACTTGTGCCAAATTGCCGAACTGAGCAGCCTGTTCGCCTTTGGAGTTGATCTTGAAATTGCGTCCCTCGCTGCCTGATGCATGTCCAGCGAACGAGCCTGCCATCATTTGTTGGCGACGTGACTTTTCCTCGTTCTTACGGGCCTTTTCAGCATCGGCTCGGCTCTTTCGCTCCTCCTGAAAAATGATCGATTATTTCAAAAACACCGGACATCTTTGCAATTTCGAAAGGGCCTCGTGAAAATGAGAATTAAGCCCTAGGCCTTGACCCACCTCTTCCTTACGACGGCGTTCTTCGTCTTGTCGGCGTCTTTCGGCGAATTCTTTCTCTTCAGCTTCTCGTTCAGCACGTCGTTTCTCCTGCTTCTCTTTGAGCTCACGAAGTTCATTCTCAATGCGCTCCTTCTCGAGAACTCGCCGTTGTTCATAATCCAGAAGCTTGGCCGCTTCTTCCTCTTCGTGGCGTTTCTTGGCTGCCTACAATTTGGTTCATCATCTCCCGTATAACAAGTAAAAGCAGCCCTTTACAGTAACGAACCATCATTGCTGCCTCGGCTTCAGTCATCTCCGCTGGTGGTTTCTCTTCCTGCTGCTGCTGAGGCCTCGACTTTGGTCTAAGAATTTCACCTCATTTAACCAATCGATTATCGAGAGAATACAGCTAATTTCCATAAGGGAAATACTAGTTACCAAATCAATTGGGAGCGACTCCGACTGATTTAGCGATCCAGTGCTGTATAAATTATTTTCAAACAACCTTAAACTCACTTTCGTCAGGTTCAGCTTCATCTGCTACCGCATCTGCACTGGGCTCCCGGGCCCTTTCAATATATATGTTGATATTTCATATATGATCAAAACGAAAATTGGAAATAGGGAAAGGGTAAAGAAAGAAAAATAGGTCAAATTTTTCACAGCCGATAACTTGTTCCGTAATAATCATGTCAGTAATTTCACGTCATGCTCACTTGCTCTCCTCTTCTGCTGCTTCCTCTTCAGCCGCCTCGGGCTCCTCTTCAGGCTCCTGCTCGGCCTCCTCCTCCTCGCTGAAGATGTCGGAAGGTTAGCATCAAGCTAGGCACCTCACTTGTTAATAAAAGAATCTTAAGCTTATCCACTTACTACTGTTCCTCTTCGTCAGACATGTTGCCTGAAAGTTAGCTCAGTCAGGTAGAAAGTAAAATGGAAAGTAAAAGCAAAAGGTAACGATTGCCCTGAAGAAAAAGAAATAGGATGCTTTTGAGGAAAGGCGAGAAGACTTAGAATAGAGAATCTATCGGAAAAATCCTAAGTGGTAACGGCACGGCAGCACATTTATAAGGTTCTCAAGTAAGTAAGTAATGGCGCTTAGGTCCTGATAGTCCAACTGAATAAAGGGTTGACGAATTTATACCATAGATGAAATGGTATTGATAAAGGAACGCGGTCAGCAGACCGAGAATCGGCGGCAGTGAGGTGTTTGTTGCCGCAGGGCCTGTAAAATAGAGGAGATAACTGCTGGTTGGGCGGAGTCTTGCCCCTCCCCATCAGGGAGGCGAGCGTTGGCGGCACGAAAACGTTGTGTAATGCCGAACGAATAGGCGGCCAGAAAAATAAGAAACGCTCTGAAGAACACCACCGATGTAACACTTATACATTGCTAGATTGGCAGAGGGGTTTACTGGTCGTTTACTGGAGGGAAAAGTATTGTTATCGGTTTTGAGATCAGTGGTCTCAGCCCTATAGACTGAACGGGCGAACAATTTGCCAACGCCTCGCATAGCAGGCGCGTCGGGGTGAAGGAACAGCGTGGGATACTGGTGGGTTCCCATCTGCTCTTTTTTCACAACAAGTAAGTAATATCTCAGTTGTTTGAGGTGAATTCATCACAACATGCGCAAGCAGGAGCGGTCGAAAGGCCGAAGATTTTTGCTCGGGAGGAAAAATGTTTCGCCCACCCGGAACTGTTTTAAAGCCTGCAGGGGCTGGAGTCATGCTGTGGCATTGAAATTCTTTATGAGCCATCGGACTGCTCATCATCATCATCGAACCACCACATCACACAGTCATCTGATTCACTGCGTGATACGCCGCGCACCCGAAATCCTCCAGGATCGCAGTACTAACTGGATGTCACTACGCAGAACAACAAGGCTTGCCCACTGTACAATTCGCTTGATTTAGTTATTCCCAGATTTGTACGGAACCAGTTAAAGGTTAGTTGGGACGCGAGCCCAAGAGTTGTTCTTCAGGTCGTTGCCGAGATATCGATGACGCAAGCGCGAGATAAATGTGGAGTTTTTCCCAACTCACCGGTTTTCCAGAGATTTTCCCATCCCTTTTCCACGAAATTGCCGTCGAGTGAGTAGGTGGGGCCTTGGCAGTCACCAAGCAGCTATTAATTTCAACTACTGGGAAGTAGCAGCATAGGACATAAGAGTTTGACGGCACTACCTACTGAGGGAAGTGGGGGTGGAAAAGGACTAAAAACGGGAAGAGATCCAGAAAAAATTTTCCCCGCGACTGGAAAGAGTCTCTTTCATGTCTCGACCTCGTGGCACATCACCACCTTCGCTACCACAGACCAAGTACTCCCTAATGAGGTTCTCTCAATGGCACTGTGCCCTGTAATCACATGAGGATGGGTTCAGCACATCCGAAACGCGGCAAGCGCGGCGAACGAATTTTTGCAAGCGGGCTGACGTGCTTGGCACTCGTATGAAGGCGCAACTGATTAAAAGACAGAACTGGCGCTCAAGTAGTTCGTGGTCGTCCGTCCTTGCGCAAGTAGTCCAGCCCACAGGCTCAGAGACTGTTCCACTTTTGCGACTCTAAGTGAGGAGGAGAGTTCTACAGCCACCGAAAGTTCTACTTCTAACACCCGCTTAGTTGGAACGCCTACTTACGAGTGTTTCCTTGGGGTTAAGGTAAGGAAAGGCGGGAGTTAAGGGTAAGCAACAACCGATATCTAATAAATATCCCCCATCGCGGTAAATAAGGAGGGAACTTCCATTCCATTAAAATTCAACAGCCATTTTTCAAATGCACGGAAATCCGCAAGGCAATGCGAGGCATTTATTCGATAGCCACATCCCTTCTTTCATGATTCAGCCGTTGATCGCGAGATATTAGCACTCGCAAAAGAAACTCCGATCTATAGCAATTTAGTGTACAGCAAGGGATGGTGTTCGGATCTCATCAGCTGCTTCACAGATCGAAGACTCAGGAGCCAAGTGAGACAGGCAACAAGTGCGAACTTTGTTTAATATCTTCGAGCAACAGGAGAGTACCTGAAACAATCACTCGCGAAATCCGTCATACAAGTACAAGTTGTAATCATAGTTCCAAACAGCTGGTAGGATGTTCTCCGTTATTTGTACTTGCGAGCATTCATGTGACCTCCTTTAAGCCGTGGAGAGATGAAAGTTTTTGAAACTCCAGGGGACAGAAAAAACTTACCTACCGAAACGCAACTCATAGTTTAACTACCATTCATATTATCTCGAACGAAATAGATCTTGTGAGCTTCGGAAAACGTAGCTCTGCTCAAGGGATTTAGTGAAGGGGGGGGGGGGGGAAGGAGAGGGAATTTGTTAGCTCGCTAGTTGTTTTTTAGTTCCTGTTATCTAACCAATGTCACTTTGGTGAGATCTGTCAAGTCTTTGAAGCTGCAAAATGGTGCAAATGAGCCACTGTGACTGCAAGAATGTCCAGTTCTTCACAAGGTAGCCTGTAAAAGCTTTGCTGAGTAACGTTTGTTGCCCCTACATAAACTGCTTTAACATGGCACAGTAGGGATTACTCGTAGGAGATTTCACTTATTGTTAGGAAACTGTCATCTTGTTCTGTGTTGGACAGAGACACGACCACAATTGTGTCAAAATGAAAATATCTCTCCAAAAGCACAGCCACCGCCACGTTTAGTTGAAGTACGCAGCCATGCCTACCACATCTCAGGGAATTTGAGTATATCAAGCCTCAATCCCTACATATCGCGCCCTATAGCCTTTCTTCTTGTGCAGGATGAATATTATGGGACCATCCACGACAACAAATTTTTTCCTTTCTTCCTTGTACGGGCTCCTGAACCAAATCTTCCACCGTGTATTTCGAGAACACCCTTACACACAACTATGGTCCGGCGCAGGTCAAATTTGAGCAGCGCACTTTCCTCTTATGACGTCTGATTTGAAAAACCGGCGCCGATTTTCACCACTCGGGCTTCTTTTCAATTTCTCGAGAACTTCTTCTGGGGCTAGGTTCGCCAAATTTCACAGATACACAGCTTAAGGTACTAGCTTCCAAATGGTATAGTAGCCCGCTGCTCTATCTATTGGGTTGGCACATAAGTACTTTCGTTTTTTTTCAACCGGAAATTTCGTTTCAAAGATGAAATGTTCTGCTAGCAAGCTTGATATTCCTGACAGGAACTTCACGTAGTTTTAGAATATCAAAACGGCTTCGGTTGAGGGAATAATTTTTGTGGATTTTTTAGTCGTTGAAGTTGAAAGCGAAGTCGGCGAAAATTAGCACCTTCGACAACTGCCTCTATTTACGTATAGTCGAAGTGCTAAAATCGCTTAAGCTGCTCCATACATTTGGAAAAGGTCGAGCTAGAAGTTCCAGCAAGGGAATCTCACTAGGACGCTTTGGAACGAATTTCAAGAATTTTGAAGTTACCAACCTTCACCTCGCCGATATTGGGCAGCTCACGTCTGTTCCACCTGAAATTTTTATGCTAATATTTGAATGTTCGTCTGATATGTTTTGCAGGTTCTGATAGAATTTCGTGCTCTATAAGACTGCTATAGAAATCTGTTCTCCAGAGGTGTTTGCTTTCTGTTAAGTTCAGGTTATCATTACGGAACGCGAAGTCGTTGAGAACTAGCGTTTCCCGTCTCTAACGAATTTTATGGCTGAACGTTTGAAATGTTGGCTAATCGGATAGTCTATGAAACTCTCTGATATGCCAATTTCGGTCGGCTCGTAGCAGAATGCGTTGCAGTTATTTTTGAAAAAGTCGATAGCTCAGCACACCTCAGACACCTCCTTCTTTTTCGCACTTAAGTGCCGAGGTAATCAGAAGCTGGCTGATGCTGCTCGGAGGGGAAATCGCTAAGAGCTGTCGTTAACACTATATCTTGTTACTTGGGGCTAACCCTTTCTCAAACCGATTATTAGTGAGCTGCTCTAGGAGGCTTTTGAACGCTCTCAAGTGGACGCAGCGGTTGACGAGAGGAAGTCGGGACTCTTATTCTCATTCGACTGCGCTCACGTCCGTAAGATAAACCGCTGCAACTTAACAGGAAAGTAAACAGCTCCGGAGAGCTGATTTTTATGTCATTTCATGAAGCACGAAATTGGCTATAGAACACACTAGCGAAACATTCGAATGTTAGCATAAAATTTGCGTGAAAAACAGGGAAAAGAATACTTCCAGACGACTGTCGCGTTCCGTAATGATAACCTGAACTTAACAGAAAGCAAACACCTCTGGAGAACAGATTTCTATAGCAGTGTTATAGAGCACGAAATTTGCTATCAGAACATGCAAAACATATCAGCGAAACATTCAAATATTAGCAT